TTTTAGTTTATCCAGAAGTGTAGGGATAAGTAACTTTTGGGAGACTTAAAAAGACTTTGGGAGAAATGACAAGAGTTCTATATAATAGGTAAATGAAAGGGATTTGGAGTTTTAACTATTTTTGTTCATGGCAGCTGATTAGATTTCACTGAACCAGAATGGATTACTGAAAACAGGCACAAAGTGTTTAAGCCGGTAAAGCTTGCCCTGTAAATGTCATCACTTTTATTTCCAACTGACAAAAGAACTTTATTTTGCATATTGTCTGATACACAGGATCACAGTTGATGTTATATCTGAAGGACTGAAAGGTGCTTTTTCCATGTCAGCCACTCTTACCTGTGTCACTTACAGAGGGCAACCATTTTGAAAAACCAAAAGGAAATATTCAACCTATGCTTGAATCAAATGTTAAGCTTCAATTAGTAGACCTATTTTATAAATGAAAACAACCTACGCTATGCAGTAAGCAATGAGGGAAACAGCCAGTAACAAACAAGATGGTTTTAAAAGAAATGTCTTCAGATCTGATTTAGATAATTCAAGATAAGTTGAATATTGATCTGTCATATCACTTGATATATCATTGATTGTCTGATTGATTTTATTGATTGGATTTGATTGATTTTTGGTAATTGATCACTGAAACATTATATTTCTGAATTTGATATAGTTATAGTTTCTAATTACTGTATTCTATTGTCAGTAATTAACATGATGCTAGCCAACCAAATGATATTTATGTGTTTGTGTAGATGTAGAACTGTAGGAAGTAAAACCTCTTTTAAGTATTTATGAATGGAATTGTATGACGACTCTTCTTTTCTTGATACTCTGATATATATAGAAAAGAAATAGAAAGTGAAATTCCTAATTTGAGGTATTTTTGAAGGAATTATGTAATTTTCTAGTACTTCTGAAGATTATTAACATGTATATTAATAGTGAATCTTAGCTACCCAAGAATCAGGAATTGTCATTGTTATATATACAAGTCAAAGAAAGTGTCAGAATGTTGGAAGTAAAACTTGTATGTGAATTTATCAAGAGCTCAATAAATCTTGATATAAAGCAGTGATAGAGTTAGTTCAAGATCTGATGGATTGGTAGATCTGATTAATGATTGGTCTCTGCTTATTATAGGATGTGACATGCACTTGTTAGGATAAGAATCATGTTCCTCAATGTATCAATGACCTTCATTGCTCACTCACATGAAGGTAGGAGGCATAATGGGTTTAGTTTTTTACCCTGGCTGTGACACATCTTGAAACAGTTGATAGAAAAATTTGTTGACATAAAGACATTGATACTAGCTTAATCCATACTTACAAAACTAGGTGTTCTCATGAGGATCGAGTATCCTAAAATGTGCAGGTAGCAAGAAATGAGCATTAGTAAGTATACAAGCAACTGTCCTGTTGAGGATTGTGTATCCTAAATGTACTCCAGCAAAGGTATATTATATAAGCTCTATTCAATATATAATCTAGCTGCCCTGATAAGGATTGTGTATATTTGAAACACATGTGGTCACTAGATGAGAATTGTGTAGTAATAAAATCTGTTGGCAGTGTCAGACTAGCTGTTATAAAATAGATCTAAGACGATCTTTGATTAGGATGTTTCTGACAAGATAAATGATCATTCAAATTATTTCATCTTTTATTCTGTAAATAGCAAATAGATTATGACCAATATTTTTAAAATTTTTAGCAAATATAAAAAATCAGAACAAATTGGTGTGGAATAAATATTCCATTTAACTTTTTATTGATCCCTTTCAGAAATTTTAGTGATAAATTGCGTCATTTCATTTTATTTGACAGACAAATATAAAAACGTGACGAAAATAAAACAGCTATTATTGGCTAACTAAAATAGCACATAATAGTTAACGATTATAAAAGCAAATTTATTGTGTACTTTTCATAATCCTGGGTTTAATGAGGTTTGTCAATTTTGATGTGTCTGCCAAGAAATGATGAAACAATATTAGCTGTTTTAATTCTGCTGAGTTGAAAAACCCAGCCACAGATTGGCATCAGGTTCTCTGGAAGAGTAAACTTGTTTAAATTCTGCTGAGTTGAAAAACCCAGCCACAGATTGGCATCAGGTTCTCTGGAAGAGTAAACTTGTTTAAATTCTGCTGAGTTGAAAAACCCAGCCACAGATTGGCATCAGGTTCTTTGGAAGAGTAAACATGTCATATTCGATGAAACTTTTGTAAGGTAACATTTTGAAGAATAACCTCCACCAGTAGAGTCATCAACCTATTGTGGTGCTTTTGCAAAATCAAAAATTGTCATCCTACTGTTCTGTGGCTCATTGGACATCATACTGGCATGTTGACTAACTATCAATATACCATTCAAAAGGAGTTGAAATATAATAAGCTATATGGACTCTCCAGAAGAAATATGGAGTTGACAAGCTAAGAGAGCATGAAATATTTTTTGGCTGATTTGACTGTTTGAAATGGATACCTTGTTGACAAACCAAACTTATTAGCTTTGTGAATTCTCCAAATGGGTCGATTATTAAACCTATGTGTCGCATTTCAATTCTATAAAGTCATCTAATTTTACATGAAATAAGACAAAAGAAGAATATGTTGCCATGGTAACTGGACATCATTTTACCTGTGTAGATCAAGTTATGTTAATAATTTTCTAAGTTTGATTAATTCCTGTCTAGTTTATTTCAATCATTGATGATTTTTTCTGTCTATGAAAGAAAAGTCTTTTCATTTCACTCAAAGTTTGGATAAAAAGAGAAGGTTTTAGCAGTTTTTGTTTTTTGATGGTTTTCTTTTGTTTTAAAGATATTAGAATTTTATTTTTCTTGTATCTCAGACACAAAGGTTGGAGATAAGACTGAAATAATTTTTAAAGAATGAAACTTTAATAATGGAAAATAAAAGGTGACGTTAAAATTTCAACAAAAATAAAGAAAGATTCATCTCTCTCACAGCTGTTTCCACATTAGCAATAATATACTAAAATTTATTGGTTTATTGAGTGTAGAATTGTGTACAATGGGAGAAATATATTTTCGTACATCTCTTGTTGTTTTAAAACTATACTACATCTTCACTTTGAATCTCAAGACTAGTGTAATGGATGAATTTTTTTAATTTACCAACTTGTTTAAAATTGATTTTATGAAACTTCTGACAGGTATAATCTAGTTTTAAATCGGAAAATTGATGAGAATTGTCAAGAGCTTGATTGCTTTTTATTTACATTGAGAATTAATGAAAGTAATTTTAAAAAATAGTCTGAGAATTTATAGATTTGTAATTTCTCAAGACTTACATAGAAGTTGTCCTGTATGTAAGGTGCTCTGGTGCTTGTTGGTGTCATTTAAGTTTGTTCAGATTGTTAGGTGTCATTTCAATTCATGGTGATATGATGATTTTTGGTATGATCCTAGTTTGATGAGATTGTCAAATGTCATTTTGATTCATGTTGATCTGGTGCTTGTCGTAACGATCCTAGCTTGTTCAGATTGTCAAGTGTCATTTCAATTCATGGTGATCAGAAAAGTAAGATGTAAAACTTTACATTTCATCAGTCTAATCAGGATCAGAAAAGTAGGATGTAAAACTTTTCATTTCATCAGTCTAGTCAGGATCAGAAAAGTAGGATGTAAAACTTTTCTTTTCATCAGTCTAATCAGGATCAGAAAAGTAGGATGTAAAACTTTTCATTTCATCAGTCTAATCAGGATCAGAAAAGTAAGATGTAAAACTTTTCCTTTCATCAGTCTAATCAGGATCAGAAAAGTAGGATGTAAAACTTTTCATTTCATCAGTCTAATCAGGATCAGAAAAGTAGGATGTAAAACTTTTCCTTTCATCAGTCTAATCAGGATCAGAAAAGTAGGATGTAAAACGTTTCATTTCATCAATCTAATCAGGATCAGAAAAGTAGGATGTAAAACTTTTCATTTCATCTGTCTAATCAGGATCAGAAAAGTAGGATGTAAAACTTTTCAAAGTTAAGATGTTTTAGACAAGACTTATCTGGGAATTGGTCATTTTGGATATTAATACATTGTTAGAATATCAATACTTGACTTAGAAATATGTAAATGTTCAGGAAATATTCAGCCAAAGTCTTCGTATTTAATGAATAACAAATCTGGGTTTAGATTAAAACGGGGAAAAGTAATTTTCTTTTGTTATTTGGCGCTTCAAGATCGATTCTAGTCAATGTCTTTGTAAATGAATAGTTTGGTTTCCAAGCAGTTCCACTATGTTGTCATTTATATTTGTGTAGGCTTTGAGGATGTTTTACAAATCAAATTACAGCAGATGTCAACATAAATAGAGGGAACTTTTTAAAACTAACTGAACAGTGCCTGGTAATCTAATGAATGGGATAACAGAGTATGAATTTTAATGTGAAAGACATAGTTCTTATTCCTGAAAACTGCTTCTGATGTGATATTCAACTTGGTGAACAGTAGATGGTAATCTATTAATTGGAAGTTTCAAACTCTTTTGTGATGAAAAGCATTTTAACATTTGTAATAATTCGGCTGATACAATTCATGCTGCTTAATCTTTGACACACTTCTTGATCAGAAGGTTTAGAAACTATGGAAAGAATCTTGATACAGTGATACAATAAAAAAACTTTTCAAATTAACCAGTGAAGTCCTGAAAAGTGTTTATGGATTTGTTACAAAAACTTCGGCTAAAGACAGATGTCTTTTTTAGTAAGTACTCTTTCTATTATTATGGCATTATCTTTGCCTTGCATCTCTTTTGTTACAACTATAGCTACGATTTTCATCTGATCCTGTGGATGTTTTGGATTTAGTCTATCATCAGGACAGCTAGTTATCAATAGACAACTTGCTTTGTCAGTCTGTTCCATCTTGAATGATCCAGAATGGCTATTGAATTTGTTTTTCATTTTGTCAACTTTGTGGTTTGAAGTGCATACCTAAAGGTTGACAATTCAACTGAGATATTTCTGATATTAAAATAATTATACATCAGCCAAACAAGATTTTAGATAAAGTTTGACCAATAACAATGCTTGGTGAGGAGAAAGGAATCTGGGTGATGAGAAGACAATCCCAGTGATGAGAAGGGAATCCTGGTGATGAGAAGGGAATCCAGGAGATGAGAAGGGAATCCCGGTGATGAGAAGGGAATCCCGGTGATGAGAAGGGAATCGGGGTGATGAGAAGGGAATCCTGGTGATGAGAAGGGTATCCGGGTGATGAGAAGGGAATCTCGGTGAAGAGAAGGGAATCTCGGTGAAGAGAAGGGAATCCTGGTGAAGAGAAGGGAATCCTGGTGAAGAGAAGGGAATCCGGGAGATGAGAAGGGAATCCCAGTGATGAGAAGGGAATCTCGGTGAAGAGAAGGGAATCCTGGTGATGAGAAGGGAATCTTGGTGAAGAGAAAGGGAATCTCGGTGAAGAGAAGGGAATCCTGGTGATGAGAAGGGAATCTCGGTGAAGAGAAGGGAATCCTGGTGATGAGAAGGGAATCCTGGTGATGAGAAGGGAATCTCGGTGATGAGAAGGGAATCTCGGTGAAGAGAAGGGAATCCTGGTGAAGAGAAGGGAATCCGGGAGATGAGAAGGGAATCCCAGTGATGAGAAGGGAATCTCGGTGAAGAGAAGGGAATCCTGGTGATGAGAAGGGAATCCCGGTGATGAGAAGGAAATCCCAAGTAAATCCCTATTTAAATATTTATAAAATAACAATCATGTAATAATATATAAGACAGACATCAATTAGTATTCATTGATATATTAATAGTAATTACTAGTTTTATCAATGTTAGTGATAATAAAGTTAAGGTTACACTTGGGTGGACTATTAAAGAGAGAGGGGGGAGGGAGGATTGGTTGGTTTGTCATGAGCATGAGGTTTGGTAGGTAGCTGAAGAGTATAAATTTATGTTTCTTTTTCAAACTTCATTCTACCCTCTGACAATTTGCTGAATATAAACCTACCTCGGTAATTAATGGAACGAATTGTGTTGTCTTCTGCATCAATATCTCTACATCTTTTGTATTTGTTCAAAATAGTATGTGATCATGTGACAATATTTGTATAGTTCGAGTAAAAATGTCTACCAATAAATACTGTGATTTGTTGCAGAGCATTGGCAAAACTTTCACTATCATGGATGGATTCTATGATATGATATTGAGCTAACTACCACTGTGTTTTATATGATAATGACAATGAAATGAGGTTGAAATAGTTCCCATTATTCTAGATTACAGATATTTAGAAATGTTTAATTTACCTCCACGTAGGTAACCATTGCTTTTTACCATAATTAAATGAGATACCCACCATTGTTTAGAGAAAGTATTTCAAAAATAAATCATGAAACAGTATGGAGAAACTGTAGGAATAATGTCACATTCAATCAAGACCTAGATTTATCAGAATAATGAATTATCTTCAACTAAACTTTTTCTGAACATAGTTATTACCCTTTCTAACCTCATTCATCAAAATATGTGATTTCTCCCTAACTGCCGTCTGCTACAGAACATATCAATGATTTCTCCTGCAATTCATTTTATTTTCTTATCTCATCATTCAAGATATATTTAACCAATTTTACATTGAGTCCTACATTTCTGCTCCTGAAACGTAATTCAATGCAGTGTGCAATGAGGAATGCAAGTCAAGAATATTGACCCAGAACACACCTAATGCCATTTTGAAGATTACCTCTCAGAGCAGGACAAACAAAATTGAATTCTCTGACCAGTGCTTTTGTTGTGCCTTAAATAGTTCCCTTATGTTTAAAATAAATCTTTGGGTAGCTTACTCAAGATAGAGCACAAATATTCTGTTTTCATGATCATTCCTTAGAGTTTGACAATATTATTATGGAGTCTGCAATGGATTTTGACCTGCCAGTATTTCTAGTACTTTTAAAGAAAAACAGCAGAATTTTTTTTTTTTTGGTGCTGGCAAGATAACTCAATACATGATGATACAACATGCTATGATATTCATGTTCTTGTATTGATGTCTACATACCAGGCAAACTAGACAGACAAGCAGACAAATTTACATGTATAATTAGACATCGAAATGCAGAAAAACTTGAAAGTTTTAGAAGTGACCATTTGAGGATGTGACCTTGGCAACACACATTTGGACAAAAGTGAAAGAAAGATTTGTTGAAAACTGTTCAGTGCATTAATTTGTTTAATCAGAATTTCATGAGCACTTAAATTAAAACTCTAGTAATGTATGTTCAAGAGAATATGTCAACAAAATGTTAGATTTTGTGAAAACTGTTCACTGAGTTAACCCTTTAGTCATTTCAATTAGCAGTCTTGTAATGTGTGTTCAGGAGAAAAAGTATAAGATTTTGTGAAAACTTTTCACTGAGTGCACATTATTGAGCATTGCTTCCCATTGGTTTATTACTGAGCTTTTTTTCCAATCAGTTGTCATTGGAAGTAAAATTTGAATTTTGTCAGTTTTAAGAAAGTATTGGTTTAGATGTTTTTTTTTATTTTATCTTTGAGAGGCCCAATATATATATATATATGTAGTTGAGCATTGTGTTTTTATAGTTTGGATTCTTGACTTTGATATAATATAGAGTATATTTAACATGGTTAGGAAGGGTTGTTATGTAAATTTTGACAAATTTAGTAGAAGGAAGATGTTACAGAAACAGAAGTAGGACATGCCACTCCATTTAAGCTTGTATTTTTGCTGTATGAAGAAACCTTATCACACAACGGTACTGTTCCCTGTTTCATAACACAGATTCCTAAAATGATATGAACAGGTAAAAACACTAATGCAAATTTGGTCATGTATTCATGCACCATGTAAAGAGAACATGAAGACATTGCATGAAATTGTTCCAAATAACATAACTTTGATTTAAAATTTCAATTTTAATCCAAATCATATTTGTTGAGCACAAGGGCATTTTGCAGATTGGTGCAAAAAGGTGGATAAATGCCCTACATAGAAAAGGTACAATAAATTGAAGGAAATTATGTGTTTATTGATAATTGAGTGAAACACAGTTTACAGATCCTCTATGTTCTATAGCTAAAGAAGGTTTATGACAAGTATTTGACACTATGATACTTAACACCTCTTCAAGTAAAGATAAACGCTGGTTAACACTTGTGTTAACATGGTGATTTCCTGATTCCAGACCGATCAACCATCTGTTCATCCTGTATGTTGCCTAGCGATAACATTCTTACTGTCCACTACTCTGTTACTGCCACTTAGCAACATAATAGGTTATCTATATTTGACATTAAAGGGACAGGTAGGTGTCCTTACACATTATGTAGTTTTCGGGGTATATTTGCTATAAGGAATATTGCTTTCCTGATTTTATTTCCAAATTAAATGAGAATTGAAAGGAGATGAAGGGATGAGGGCCCATTTTAAAAACTGAAAAGGGTACAGTTACAATCCAGAATTGTCTTTCTTGATTTTGATTCAGGTTATTGCTTGAAAACTGACAGTGAGGTGGGGGGATAAGGTCAGACTAGACTGGCAAATGACATGAAATCAACCATCCTGATTCAGACTCAGCAGTCCCAGCTGGTCAAGAAGACTAAAGAAGATTGTAGAATTCTATTTTAAGTTAAGTAGTGATTGACTGACTGCAGTATAACAGTTAAGTTTGTTTGGTTTACAACAAGTGAGGTGATTTGTCGTGGAGTGGAGAAAATCGTGTGGTCATAGTATTGATCTAATGGACTGCCATGGGTACACTTGGATAGCTCACAATCAAACTACTCTCATTTGGTTCTCTCGTAGACCATTCTTACCTCCACTCTTCAATTTGAACGGACTAATTGTTGGACTTTGTTATAATGTAAGTTAATGGTTTTTTTTTTTAATGTGTCTGTTATCTTTGTTTTAAGCGCTTGTCTGTTGTCACTGATGGCTGCAATTAGTCTTGAACAGTTGAAGATTTTCATTGTGGAGTTTTCTATTTTTTTTTGTTGATGACGTGAAATAATTTTTAGAATTTCTATTATGTTAGTCAATAATGTAATACCTATTTTTTTTTATATTTAGTGTTTATATTACTAGTCTCTTATCACCTATATCTTACAATTAGACTTCATCAGTCTAGATTTCAAATTTTCATCTTATTTTATAGTAGTAATAATTTAATCCCATTGTTCTGACAGGATATCACACAATATCTTGTTCATATAAAATCTCAGTTATGTTATTATTTTGTTATAGAGATTTTGAGAAATTTTATATGAAACATGGAATATTTTTTTTTACTTTTGTTTATTATGATGTAACAATTAAATTCTGATTTTCTTTAAATTCTTTGTAGAATCGTTTTGGAAATTTCCCTATCATTTTTGTTTTGTTTCAAGAACTATTGTACTTTGTCTGTTATAATGTAAGTTGACAATTAATTTTGATTTTCTTTAAATTCTTCTCAGATTTGATTTCCTATTTCAATACTACTTTGTTTTGAAGATTTTAATAATATGTTTTTAACAAATATATTCATGCTTGTTTTCATGCATTTTTGCTCGGGTTCACTAGAAACGGAAAAAAATGGATCTCCTTTCATTTTATTTGAGCGGAAATCAATGGATAATTTGATTTTTCCAGCGGTGAAGTTGACCTGTTGACTTTGTAATTTGAAAATCATGTTTCTCTTTATAAGTAGTAGATCAGGAGGAAATAAAATGAAAATTAATTTTGAAATGATTTATACAATCTTTTAGTTTTTCTCCATCTAATACCTCAAATTTAATATCTTCTATCAGTCTGTTATTTAATTAAAGCTGTCTCTATGATCCTGGTCTGATCAATCATACCTTAAACCCCTTTAACATTCAGTCAAACAGTTCTCAGAATTCAACAACGGATAAATTTTGTGTAATGTAAAAGGATAACCATTCTGAGACCCGTTCCAGTTTAAGCCCTAAGTGGTCTCAGAACATACCCCTATAAATGTTGTAATGTAAACAGTGACCATACAGAATGGCTTACTGTGCATGCCCAAACTTTAACCTTTTCCTGTTTACATCTGGGTGAATATAAGGATTAAATGCAATTTTCTTCAAGAATAGTTCCACAGATAAGTGTGCCAAGAACAATTTCCATTTACACTACAACTGAAGAACTGTTATCAGATCACTTGATTTGCTACATTTTTATTACTGTCTGGCAGACAGAGAATAAAATTCTTCATAGCAGCCTGGTGTAAAAAGGCGTTTCAGTTTCAGCAATGAGAATTGTTAATCTGGCCTAATAAGTAATTGAGTCTTCTAAATTATTCATATGTACCTGGTATCCATAATTATTCAAGTTTGAAAGTTATATAAACAAGTCGTGTTTTTCTTGAGACTTCTCATGTTAAGAATGGTGAAGAACTGGAAAATCAAATGATAAGTAATT